ATGGGAAAATCGAGAGAATTCCGAGATTTCCTCGGAATCGGATTAAAGAAGTAATTCGATTAAAGGCGAAGGGCTATATGTATATATACGAGAGTCGGGCCCTGCATTCCAGATTTCGGATTTCCTTTCCGTCGACGGTCAGCTTAGGAGTTAAGTCGTCAAAGGGGTTTTCAAAGGGGATCTTATTTGCCACGGGTTCTCATAACCAGTCTCTGGACTCGCGTCGGCACCGCATAAAACTTTTCTAATTCCGACAAAGTCCTGCCTTTCGACGTGTTTAGGGGTTCCTTTCTACCGACCACCCCGTGGCATTCAATTCGCCGGTATTATTTTTATTTCCACTTGCCGGCTCCAAATCCAGATTAGCGAGTCGCCGTGACATCTGGGATAATCCCGGAGTCCCGGAATTCTTATCCCGAAATCCCGAGGCAAGAACTCGGAAATTCCAGGCCCGACCGACGCCACTTCCTGAAACTTTTCGCTGAAATTTAATTACTAAAAACATGCCATAACGTAAGCGATGACATCCAATTATACCGTCGCTCGACTCAGATCTCAAATCAGCTGATTTTTTAAATCTAATATTGAATTATTAAAAAATGTTACAATGTAAGCCATGACGTCCAATTTTATCGCAGCTCGTCCAACTCGGATCTCAAATCAGATTGTTTCCCCTGAAATTGAATTATTAATAAATGTTACAATGTAAGCCATGACGTCCAATTTTATCGCCGCTCGCCCGACTCGGTCTCAAATCAGCTGATCGGCAGATTTTGAAAGATCGGTCACCCACGTCGACAGGCTAACCTGCTTAACTTTTTAAGTCGGCAAATCGCATTATACCTAGGACCTTCTTTTGACTTCTCGGAACCGGCTTGACTTTTTCCCTTTCCCCTTTTTCCTCTTTTTCGCGCGGATTTAACCCTCTCGCGGATCATCTCGTCCCTGTTAAAACCGAGATTAGCTCTCGCCCTTGTGCTTTGTCTCATCGGGACGTCAAAATCTCAGCCAGCTTTCTTAAAGCCCGAAAGTCGAGCCGACATTCAACGGAGTCAGTGGACCAGGAACAGGGGATGCGTTTCGTGAATTCGAAAATTCGTGGTTTGCCAAAATCCATGACAGGACTCGATCGGGATGATCCGGAGTCTCCGTGTCTGTCGTTCGCTCCTTAATGTCAATTTCGACACTCTGTTTGACCGCCGGAGGCTTGGCTTTGGATTTCCGACCTCAACTCTTGACTTAACGCGATTTACACGAGTCTTCTAAGTACGGACGTTAAGGTGATACGAAAGTGGACGTCCATCGTTGACGAGACGTTTTTCCGAACCGTGTGTACCAAATGATTTAAAATTTCACATCGTGAATATGGAGGCCACAAGCAAGGTCTTAAAACCCAGACAATTTAACATTTTTAAAAATTTCTTTATAGGCATTTTCAAAATCTGTTCTAAAAATGAAATTTTATCGGTGCCAGGATTTTCCTTATAGCCTCTAAATTCGCGATGTAAAATTTTAAACGATTCGGTGCACTCAGTTCGGAGAAAAGTGTCATCAATGATTTACCTCTCGGAGGCCACTTTCATATCACCTTAAATTTTTAAAAATTTCTTTTCAGGCATTTTTAAAATCTATTTAAAAAAAAAGAATTTTTATCGGTGCCAGGACCTTCCTTATAGCCTCTATATTCGCGATGTAAAATTTTAAACGATTCGGTGCACTCAGTTCGGAGAAAAGTGTCATCAACGATTGTCCTCTCGGATGCCACTTTCATATCACCTTAACGGCGCCCGAAAGAAATAACCCCGATACGTGACAAATTTATTTCTGTTCGCAGCTGCAACCGGACCCCGGTGATCGTCTCGTCGAGGAGGAGAAAAAGTCTGGAGTCGAGGTGGAACGAGAAAACGAGTCTTTCGGAGGTGTGGAGAATCCGGTGCCCTCCTACGATAACGACGTAATGAGTGCTCTGTACCTGTGATTGGCTACGCCTACCTGGATCTCGGCTCCCCACCACGAGGAGCGATGAAGTCGAACGAACCTCAAATACGAACAATAATTCCGAAGAAACGTTGCATAGAATTTATTCCAGTTCATTCGAGTGAAATAATTATTCTCTGAATTACCAAGATATTCCTTTGATACAATTAACAGAAATATTTAACTTCTTTATCAGGGTAGAATCACGTGTATTTGTTTTTTTTTTTTTTTTCAAATATATGCCTAAAATTAAAATGATACGCATTTGAGGGAGAAGATTGCAAGAAAGCGAAGATCGCTTCGGGGTGGCGATTTTTTTAGGCCCGATCAAGGGATCTTGTGAGCTGTTCGAGCCCATCGGCGGGTCTCCTGGAAGTGTGGAGTATGTCTTGGCAGAAGGGATGCAACTAAATCTATGGGGCTCCACGGGGTGACGACGTTTTCACGGTGGGGGGCTGCTCGGTCGTATAGAGACGTCCCACCTTTCGGCAAAGGACACGTTTGCCTTTTCCTTTGCGGCCGCTCCCGATGTTCCCGGGCACAAAGATGCAGCATCCGTCCGAGTCCTCGGCCGCTACTTTGTCTCTTGACTTTCTTTTCTCTCTGGCCGACGAGGTGCTCTCGCTTCCCTTCCCTGCCCCCTTCCTGGAAAATGGAAACGAGGGGTATGTGGGAGTTTCGTTGTACTAACGAGTCGCTCCCGTTTCGATGCTTACCCTCAGAAGAATTACTTCCCAATGAAAACCAGAAATTTCCCTCGCTTGGACAAATGTAAACAGTTAGAAAATGGGCTAGCTAAACCTTTATCCATAAACGTTTGTGGTCCATAGATAATAAGAGAACTATTACACAAACTTTGTTCACAACTGCGGCATTCTTTCCTAGCAACAACGAACTGTCACTCATGCTATCGAGTAGGGACATGAATATATTTTTACTTCTTCCTGAAAATTCATTTGTTAATTTAGCAAGCATTTCTTCTTAACAACATTTTCCCATGATTATATATATACGATCGTTACTATTGCAATTATTTTTCCAGTTGACGCAATCATTGCTGCAGTAAGGGCGAAACTTTATCGGCGAGGCCGTCCTTTGCTAAAATTGCAAATATAGGTTTTTCATGTATATTTCCAGAAAATTTCGGTATGCACATGTAGAATGTCTTGACTCGTCGAATTCTCTGATCGATGCCATTCCTCGCCATGACGTGGGTGGTTGATTCCGTTAAAAGGCCACATATCCCGAAAAGGTTCCTCTTTGTCGGCGCCATTTTCCTTTCAAGAGGTCGAATCTATCTCCGAAGATTCGGATCTCGCCGAGATTTATGAATCCCCCGCGGGTTTCCTTCTCTCGGTTTCAGGAAATGGGTCGGTGAATTTTCCAAGGATCTTTTCATGAAACATCGCATAAACTATTACAACGTCTATTTATATGTTTGCGGTTTTAGAATCTTGCGGACTCGACCTTGAAAACCGCGAAATTTCGAACCCTGTCTGAATTCGATTAGGCGAGAACCTCGGTCGAAAGTGTGAAAGTACGAAATTACGAAATTGTGAAATTACGAAACGGCGAAAGTACGAAATTGCGAAAGTGCGAGAGTTCGGCATTCGAGTCCGTCGAGGAAGTGGACTCAGCCGTAAGTAGAAAAATTTCCTTCGGAGGAAAGTATCGGCCTAAGGTAAGCCTTTCTAACCCCAACGACGAATTGGATAGAGTCGGATGTACAAATCAGTCGATGTCATTTCAGTTGTTAAAGGACCTCGAAAGGTATAAAGGAGTTCCAGGCGAGGGATATCGTTTTATCGGGGGTGCCTTGCCGAGCACGCAGGTGGGTCTAATCCGACGGCCATTTTCTCCTGCAGGGCCGTTAATCCAGTTAGGGCACAATGCCCCTGAAACAAAGGTGGCAAGGTTTGGACCGATTTCAGATGGCTGGGACTCTAAGTGCAATTTACAAGGAAGGTACGTCACCCCGATTACGACTACCCGGAAAGGATTTTCCACTTACTATAAACGGCGTTACAGATAACGCGCAACAACGGTCGCGCGTCAACGACTCAAGGCGACACCGAGCGAAAACAAATTAGGTGACGAATCCCAAGATGACTAATATAGAGCACCTAGAATCGAATCATCGTTAATGATTTAACGTGATATATCGAGTCATTCTACATATATAAAACGTCAAAATATTTCTAAAACTGTCCTCCAATCTGGATGCACCGAATCGTTGGAAACGTCAGCGCGTGATTATAGAGACCCCAAGGAAGAACGTGCTCTTGAAATTACATTTTTAATAAAACAATTTTTTTTACTTATTGCAGACTAGAGCCAAGGACACATAAATGTATATCTTTTGAAGTAAAATTTCGTGAACACTACGCTCTTTCTTAGGGCCCTCATAATCACGTGGTAAAGTTTCAAATGATTCGGTGCACTCGGATTGGAGAAAACTTTTATAAATATTTTTTCTTCATATATATATAGAATGACTCTTTCGTATCACCTTAAAGCGACGGATTAATTTATCAACTGAATCCGTAACGCGTCCTGGGTAACGGTACAAATGGTGATTTGAAAAGACATTTTATCGAGCTACGTACAGCGATAGTATCGATTTTTTATTTCAGTGCATCGCCAGTCCCGCAGTTAGAGGAGAGAGTTCCAAAAAGTGCAAGGCAAGTGCAGGAGCGCAGTGCGGCGTTGTCGCGGTACGGCCATGAGGCGTGGATTTGTTTGTGTTCAGGTTGCTGTTGCGGCTGCGCTCCCCACTACCGTCCGGCCAGCCCGCGTTCCTCTGTTTGCATTGTTTGCTGTCAAACATTGGAGGCAAACACGGGAGAGGGGATGACGGCGACTCCGCGGCGGCTCGGGGGCGGCGCGTCGCGATTGGTCGAGCCCAGATCCGGGCGCCGACCGGGCGCGCCCGAGGTCGGGGGGCGGGGCTAAGCCGAGAGTATATAAGGTGGAGGGTGGCGGGGAGGCCCGCAGATACGCGCGACCGCTGCATCAGGCACGATCGTACCCGGCTGGATTCTGCCGTAGCGGCCGCACAGAGAGGAGGGTTGTAAGGCCAACGGTTCTACGTACAGGGTTGAGACAAAGTATCGGAGTGCAAAAAAAATCGATCAAGACCAGTGTGGACTTCCGAGAAGTGAGTTAAACGGTAGTCATCAAGGTGTAGAGGAAAGAGATTAGAGCACCGGTCGCGATCGCGAGTGGGTCCCGTTCTCCAGACTCCGGCGTGTCGAGGTGTTCTCGAGGGTGGCATAGGCCCGTCCCGAAGCATGGTGAACATGGAAGGGTCCAACGAGCAGCACACAGTGACAGCCTCGCCCCCGCCGCCCCGTGCCGCTCTGAAGAGCAACTTCAGCATCCGCAGCATCCTTCCCGAGGCCTGTGCGGGTACCCCAGCTCCCTCGGTGAACCAGTCCATGAGTCCGGATGGCGGACACGGGGACGACAGTGATGAGTCCAGCGACTTGGACGTAACCGGAGATGGTGCCGACACCCCTCCCCTGGACTGCTCCAGGAACGCGTCCTCCAGCCCGGTGCAGAGGGACTCCAGGGAGCAGCAGAGCGAGGAGAAGAAGAAGTCCGAGAAGCCGCCCTACAGCTACAACGCCCTGATCATGATGGCCATTCGGCAGAGCCCCGAGAAGCGGCTCACCCTGAACGGGATCTATGAGTACATCATGAGGCACTTCCCCTACTACGAGAACAACAAGCAGGGCTGGCAGAACTCGATCAGGCACAACCTCTCATTGAACAAGTGCTTCGTGAAGGTGCCGCGCCACTACGACGACCCGGGAAAAGGCAACTACTGGATGCTGGACCCCAGCTCCGAGGACGTCTTCATCGGCGGGACCACGGGGAAACTCAGGAGGAGAACCACCGCAGCTTCCAGGTCCAGACTGGCGGCCTTCAAGAGGAGCGTGGTTCTCGGCGGGCTGTATCCGACTCCGTACCCTCCTCCAGGGTGGCCGGCGTCGTTGTACACGTTCCCTTATCTGCAGCGAGCTGGGTATCCCCCGACTACGAGTCCTTATCCGACTCCTGCGGGATACCCGGCCAGTCTGCTCCCAGGTGCCGGGACCGCTACCGCGAGTCTACCCTGCAAGCCTCAGCCTTTACCGGCGTCCGTGGCACCTCCGGCTCATGGAGCCTTCTCCATGGAAAGACTACTGCAGGCTCCACCAGGGTATCCTTCGGGAATCACCGCTCCGGGGATCCCGGCTCCCGGGAACCCCTACGACTTTTACACCACGCTCAGGTCCCTGGCGGCGCATCAGCACCAGGGTCTCTTCAACCAGCAGCCGAGATACCACCTGAACCAGGCGCCCATCCTCAGCCAGCCACCGTCCAGCACGACGTCCCCGGGGAGCAGTCCGGAGCCCATGTCTCCACACTCTCCCCCAACGTCGATCTGCAATCCCGTCCAGCAGAGACCCCTTCCGCACAGCCCACCGCAGCTGCTGCTGAAACCCATCACCGTCCTCACCGGGAGACACAGCTGAAGCGACGACTCTCCGTCCTGGATAACCGGGTCTGGATCTTCCTAGGTACCGGCTCTGGATCCTAAGACGCGACCACTGGATGTATCGCCTGGTGCTCGATCAACCCAGGAACTCGTGATTTGCAATTGGTTTCTCGATGGTTCCAACTTGAGAGCATCCGTGCCAACTTGGGCCATGGCTTCGATGGTACGATCTCTCGACGAGGGTCTGGACCTAACCTTGGGCCGTTGGGGTCCTGTCGATGGACGCTCATCTTAGGTAGATAGTAGATACGATAATATATACATATATCTATACATAACATGTATATGAATTAATGTATAGCACGTAGGACGATGCGTTATGGTGTAGCCGACTGTGGAACCCTGTCGCAAGGGGTGTAAAACCTGCGATGACGACTCTACCAAATATTCGGGGGCTTTTGAGCCTCTGGAATGATATATTGTGTATATAGGCGTAGGATTTTAAGTAAGTGATCTCTGACGGCGGGACTAGGTGAATTCTTGTAGATAGATTTGAGACTCGGGATGAACCATGAGAGCTTTACGGTGTCCCCGTCGGGTCGAGGTTCGAGGTTCGATCGTTATTCTGCTTGTCCTTTGTAAATACTCGATCGGGACCTCTAACGACAATGTTATCGATATGAATCGAAGGAACTTTGGCGACCTCGGCGAGGATGTGTATGTCAGTAGAAATAAATGTTCAAACCTTTTTCTAAAAATCTGGCTATTCTTTCTTGTGATGTTGCTGCTTCCCTTCCTTCACTTGTATATCGTTTCAGGAGCTTTCGGGGGTTTTGGTAAATTGGATCGTTTGCGTAATGAAGATAGGTGGAATTAATGGTGTTGTTTGGGCTCGCGTTGGTGGATTTAAGCAATGGTGGATTTTGACGACTGGCCGACCTTGTAAATGGTAAATGGCGGAACCCGCCGACTGTCAAAACATGCGGTATAAAATTTTACTCTGAACGTCCGAAAGGTCCTTGGACGGCTTCGATGGAATTACTTTACGGCTTTCCGGATAACCATAAACCGTCCTCGACCTTCGCGAGGTCCTTCTAGTTAGGGCTGGTCTTCGGTTTAGGGTGCGATTGAACTCGACGTTTCGACTTTACTCGCCCTTTCCTGGGACAGTCTCTCGTCGTAAACCGAAGTTTAACTTTATACGGTATCTCTGAAACAGGTGACGGCAAATATAGAAAGAGTCTTCGAAGCGATACGTACAAATTTATATTAGTATTTGTTTAAAATGCTCCGCTGAAATGTTTAGAAGAAAAAAATCGCCAGAATTTTCGACCCATCCTTTTACGCGTATATTCGTAATAACGATTACCAGAAGCCAGGTTTTCCTGACCATTCTTTTTTTTTTCCTTTTTCCATGTACTACGGTAAGAGGGAAGGAATGACCAGAAATGTCGTCCCGCGTTACAAGCGCGAATTTCTGTTTTCCTTTTTTTTCCGCATGATCTTTTGGTCGAGGCGGAGGTGCGCGGCCGGCAGGAAATATTTTTAACAAGCGTTGAGCGAGTCGCAAAACAATCGCATTAATGCCTGTGCCCTAATCGAAGGAACACTCGTGCCGTGATGCGTCGTCGCGTCGCGAGAGCTTGCGAGGGGGCGGAGGGCAGGGGCGAGGGGCAGGCAGGCACAGGCGCGATATTGGTATGATACATTGAGACAATGAGGTATAAATAAGATAATGGGGGACACTCGCGTACGTCGAGTAGGTTTAAGCGTTTGAAGGGCCGAGAGGCTCGAGACCGGCCGATTCGGATCGGCAGATGGGATTGTGACCCAACCAGCCCGTCCATCCTCATACGTGCTCGGCATCCTCATATCGGCCCGAGTACCTTCTCGCTAAATGGTCCCAGCAGGGTCCCCGATGACCATTATATCGACTTCCATCCCGATGGAACCTGGAAGAGGACCTAACTCGGCCGGGAGAAATGAGACTTCGCGTCCAGGCTTTGGTTCCTCTTCCGGGAGCGCGCCATATTGTTTTTCGTCCCTAGACTTGTCGCGTTGTCTGCAGTTCCTACCCTCAAGGGTAACGAGGGTGTAACACTTTTCTCCAAAGGTGCAGAAGGGTAGATACACTTTCGTCGACGTCCCGAACGGCAGAAAGCTCAAGAAAGTACAAGACGTCCGTTTTAGCGGGACAGTATGCGATTTTGGAGCTATTCGGATCGGATGATGAAAATGAAGATGTAATGCTTCCTCCGTTACATCTATCGAATGACGGTGATAGGGATAATATATGATGCAGTAATACATGATAATGGTAAATGAATAAATTGCAAGTCAATACATAATTTGTAATAAATAATGTACAATCTTTCAAAGATTACGGTAGAAAGTTAAAACGCTAAATCGCTCTGTACATGAAGAAAAAGTATATTAATCATTATTTATATTTACATTACGTTGTCTTTTCCATTTTGAAATTTGCCGCCGGATTCACGGCCTACACTTTTATAACATTTTCCACTCGCTCGGGATCGAGGGTAGATGGTGTAGAGAAAAAGTACACTCGGTGTAGATGCCCTCGTCGTCGTCTGCGTCACTTCCGTCAAAACGAACCTCAAAGTGTACACTTTTCGTAAAAGTGTAGGCATAAAACGAACGGACCTCCTATCGACGTCGGAGCATTGCTCGAAGATGATACCGAGCCGTGTACGTCCTCGTGACGAAAGTTGCATAGTGTCACGTAGCCCGAGGGGGACGGTAAACACTTGGTTGGGCAATTGGTACCAAGTGGCGAGTGGTCCATGGCGCGTAATGCGTTCTCCATTGAGCTCGCGTGTGCGTCCAAGACGCCGACCGAACTCTACATGTCCTACGATTACGTTCGATAAGGACGGTTGTTTAGGGACGATTTAGAAAAGCAGCCTCTGCTCCGGAATTTCCCATAGCCGGTCTCCAGGCTTTCCTTTGTCGACCTTCGACGCGGCCATCTTGCGCCCGAGGTCCTCCGCGACGCTTCGACGTACCTCGAAAACAAAAGAAACTAAAGTTATGTCGGGGTTCATCAGAAAACTTCGTGAAACATGTTTCTCTATATTGTCTGGACAATCTACGGTGATTTTCAACTCTTAATTTGCCGAGTTTCGAGGGAAATGACGACGCCACGCGCGTGGAGTCTTCCGTCGAGTCTTCCTTCGAGTCCGCCATTTTGCCGAAGAGGTGGACGCGTCTACGGTGGGACTCCACAAAGAAAACACGGCTGACTTGTTCATCCCGGTGACAAAAATCGATAGCGGTCCAGAGCAAAGCGGCTACGGTTATTTTGACATCGCCATCTTGAACGTTGCCTGTTTACGGGGGCACACCAGCCAATGCGACAACGGGAACCCATACGCGCGCTTACAGGGCCTCCGTGACTTCGTATGGGTGAACGTTTTCATATTTGTGTACCTCCTCGCATATGTAGGGAGGCGGCACGTCAATGGACCTCGGCTATGGTGTGTTACATTATTTTCACTTGGGGTGCTGCGCCCCGGCACCCTGGTGACTGGTTTCGATTCAAATGCTCCCTTTCAGGGGACTTCCACGGGGGAGGGGACGGATTTTCGCCCTATGGGGAACCGTGTTCCGTAATGGTGGTCGCCCTGTGGTTAATAGAGACACATAGGGCCCATGATCGTTGCTCACCGCACTTCGTAAAGGAGCCTCGCGAGGTTTTCAGTATTCCCTCGGTGAAGCTCCTTATAACTCAGTTTCTTACCCTTTTTAACCGTCCATTACTTTCCTTAAGTATCGACTTTTTATGTTTGCGATTTAATTACCCTGAGCGATTAAATCACTTCCTAGGTGAAATTAATTACTTGCGATCGAGATGTTTCTCCTCGATGGTATTTCTAAGTTTTGGGAAAATTCATTTGGCTGGAATTGCATCCCAAGATGGTAAATTAGCATCGAGTGGACATGATTTTGCAATACGAATTTCTTGCCTTTTTAACCGTCCATTACTTTCCTTAAGTAGCGACTTTTTATGTTTGCGATTTAATTACCCTGAGCAATTAAATCACTTCCTAGATGAAATTAATTTCGATCGAGACGTTTCTCCTCGACGGTATTTCTAAGCTTCGGGAAAATTCATTTGGCTGGAATTGCATCCCAAGATGGTAAATTAACATCGGGTGGACATGATTTTGTAAAACGAATTTCGTGCACGAGATTCGGCTGCAGTGTAGGAAATTTTATCGATAATTGTCCCAATTTTTCGATAAAGTGATGGGTTTAACTTTAACTACTTTTTATTTCACACAAAACTTGAGTTTAGTTCAAAATTTCATTTAATTTCCTTCGATCGACCCTTTGATTAATTTAGTCGTAACCCGTAAAGTATAAATAGTGTTAGCGCGAAGGCGTCAAAAGAAGGTCGTTTTTGACAACCCAAAAGACTCGACCTCGTCCTCGACGAAACTTGAGTTTAGTTCAAAATTTCATTTAATTTCGTTCGATCGACCTTTTGATTAATTTAGTTGTAACCCGTAAAGTATAAATAGTGTTAGCGCGAAGGCGTCCAAACGACGCGACCTCGTCCTCGCCGGTAAACTGGACCACTTCGATTGGCGACGATTTTGACAGGGTTGGCATTCGAGAACACGAGATGGCAAGAGACGACTCGGATGACGTAAGTTCGTACCTACGTATTCTCGTCCCGATGACGGCTCGCTAATTCGAGTTAAGAGCGGTGACAATTCCTCCGCCTCTCGCAGCGAATTCAGACCTCGTCTGGAACGAACTGGTTTGCGGGGTTCATCCGACCTATGAACACCTACGTCAATGATTATGCTGTCCTCTCGACAACGCTTAACCGTTACCTGCGCCGCATGCGGCAATTTCCTCGTATCCGATTTAGCCTCCCAGAGACCGCCACGAGGAGGCCCCTCGCGCCTCCAGAAGAGCGATCTTCCTTATGAAATTGCCGGAAAAAAAAAAATGGCAGGACCGATTTGACTCTTCGATGCAGAGAAACGACATCGCGGACCAGACGTCTTAAGGTGAAGTGAAACACGTCGAGGAACTTGATCGACGTTGGCAAAGAAGATTGATCTAAATAATTTGTTCAAAATCCAAATCTTGAATGTGTCAGGACAATTTTTTGACGGTCACGTGTCATGTGTCAACGTTTCGGACAGTTTGGTCCAATACCCTTAAAAAAAGTGTTTTATTCGAATCGACTGTTTTGAGGGGGGTTTCACTTCACCTTAAGGGGGTAGAAAGACAGGAAGGATGCATTATTAAATTTTGAATGTGTCAGGACATTCTTTGACGGTCACGAGTCATGTGTCAACGTTTTGAACAGTTTGGTCCAATACCCTTAAAAAGAGTGTTTTACTTCACCTTAAGGGGGTGGACAGACAGGAAAGACGCGTTATTAAATTTTGAATGTGTCAGGACAATTCTTTGATGGTCACGAGTCATGTGTCAATGTTTCGGAAAGTTTAGTCCAATAATCTTAAGAAAAAGTGTTTTATTCGAATCGACCGATTTGAGGGGGGTTTTACTTCACCTTAAGGGGGTGGAAAGACAGGAAGGACGCGTTATCCCATCGACGCGACACTAAACGGTTAAGAGGTTCCCAGCTTCCATCGGCGACAGAAGACCCGTATCTCCGCGTCACACAAAAGTGTTAAACGAACGAGCGAACGGGCGAATGGACGAATGAACGAATGAATGAGTGTCGCCGTGAATGGAGGA